TCGTGCCATTCGTCGACTGAAATCGTCAGAGTTCAACGAGATGGTGTGTGAGATATCTTCGTCAGGCTTAGGCTATACACCAAAGCTGCGGTCAGGCGCAGGCTAATATGGATTACGACCAGAGGCTAGTTCCGGTCTGCTTGGCGGTCAACACTCCGGCCACGGTCCGCTTGAGCTGCAGCTAGATCACTGGTATCGCTTCTGCAACCCAAGGGTGCGGTCGACCGAAGCGTGAATGACAGCCACTAGCAATGATTATGCCATGTTGGCCCGCCGCGGAAAGGTAGAGGTGGTCTGTCACAGAAGTACTATGCCCACAACAAGCTTCCGTCTTGTTGCTGAAGGAAAGATGAACAGTCCGCCGTGAGATGGGTGTGCAGCAGGGGCCCGAAGTGCATTAGCGGCGTCGAGGAGAAATCGACTCGTCAAGAGCGGTCTATTATTTCACAACTCTAATCTGTCGTCCAGATACGATTGCTTCACATGGCCGGGCACGGCTGCCTGCTGTATCATGAAAGCACCTGGCCGTGGAGTTCAAAGTCTTGTCAGCAGGCCCTGCCCAGCGCCATAGCCAGATCCGATCACAGCGGTGAACATATCGCACGCCGCTCGTAGGATGCAGGCCGGACGTAGCGTGACGTTCGAGGCCGGCCGATTCCCCGGGGAACTTTCGAGGGTCGAGGGAACTTCTCGCTCCATGCTAGCCTTCTGTCGCAAAGGACGAGATCCTTGGCTTGCCTGTTGGTGGTTGACTTGAGCTTATTACAAAGTTCCTTTGCCATCAGTCCCTTGCGGGCAGGTGGCCGGGATACGGGTGGGCAAACGAGCGGATGTCGACAAGGGGTCCCGCTTAAACGGCACAGAACGGTGCCGCTTCACAGTCGATTTGCGGCCAGGTGCCCGGATACGTCGGCCACCGGCCAACGGTTGTTCAAAGGTTCCAGGACGTTGGTTAGCCCTAACTTTTGCAGCATCGTATTCCGCTGGTGGCCGCCCGATCGATGCATTGGCATTGAGGCAGTGCTGGCCGCCATCCACCTGCGCATGCCACACGGACGGAGATGAGATCGCAAAGAACGCAACAAATGATGTTAGCATATCAGTCATTAGGCAGCCGTCTTAGCCAACGGCGGCGCTTGGTACAGAGTCGCCGAGGGCCCTGACAAGGATGGAGATATTGGTGACTGCTCAGCATCGTAGCCGATGGCCCAAAAGGCTTGTCGCATGCAGCTTGGCGGCTTGTCGACAACTCAAAAGAAACACAAACGATGTGTTTTCATTGGCGACGAGCAGGCAGTAGACTCGGCGCCGGTGAACCACCACGGAGTCTTGGAAACGCCGTCTCGGCGGCAGCCTGTGGGAAGCTTGGATCCCCTCGCGACCGATGGCCGCATTATCGAACGTGAACGGCGGTTGTTTCTTAGCGACTGATGGGAGTATGACCCATCGCCAGTGTTTTCAACCCTTGCAACAGGGCAGCTTATTGCAAGCGTCTCCCCTACTGCGTAGACGAGAATCGGACTGTTTCGACGATTCGCGATGGAATGCCAGATGGGCAGATCCGAAGAGCTGAACGTCTGCTCGTCAGGCCACATCATCGCCCACGGTCCCCTTGAGACCCCTCGTTTGCGTTCCCCCGGGAAAGGAGAGCCAACTCCGACAGGCTTAAAGTGGGTGTGATTCACCACGTTCCTTGGCCAGGAAAAGGCGCACAGGCCGGGAGTCTGCGCAAATTAATCGTCCCTTGGTCGTTTTTCCACAGGTAATCCCGAGGGTGTGCTTAAGCTTAATTCGATACTGAGTGTCATCACCACGCCATGTCGACCTTCATTCGTTCGACGCACGCCGTGAGCCCCACCACCTTGACTACTATCCCCTGCTTGAGCCCGAAAGCGAATGCTTCTTCCGCGGTGGGGAACTCTGTGCCCGTGGCTTAATAAGGGGGATTTCCTGTCGAAGAAAAGCTCCCGGTTGGTTGCTTACGCGGCCCTCTCAGCACATCGACGGCGTTAGGGTCGAGAGGGATGGAGTAGTCCGCACTAGTCTTTGACGGCAGAGCGCTAGCGCCATCATGGATACCTCGTGGAGTGGCATGCGGGCCGGCAAAATCGGAGTAAGCAGCAGCTCTGAAAGACCTTTCGTATCTTTGATGTTGGTGTGAATGTCGAGACAGGCAACCACTGGAGAGGCTGTCCGTACGTACTGCGCGTAATGCTCGCTCACCTACTCGCAGCGGGTTGTGGGGATGAACGGAATCCAGGCAGCGGGTTCAGCCAAGGGTCTTGTCTTTCATGCATTGTTATTGATAAGAAAGGATGCCGGATTTGATTGCCGTGGATGAGGATATCTCACTCTCCCTGGTAAGACGGGCGCTGTGACATGGGCGCTTGGATGCCAATCAAGGTCTTGCCCCAGCCCTCCACTTCAGGCGAAGCTTTTGCTGATCTGCTGTACAGTTCAGGTGCACTTTGTTCGGCGTTTGTGCTTAAAGCCCAGGAGATGTTATGTGAGTGCGGAACTTCGGAAGACGGATCACTTAGCCAACGGTGGCCATCCGGATCCGAAAACCAGCGAAAACGACCTCTCAAGGACCTCTCAAACAGTGGATACTGCCCAGGGACATAGCATGAATTGATGTCATTTTGGTGGGCCATCCGTGATGCACAGTTTCTGGCTGGTTAAACAGTCGACAGTCCTCAGCCAGTGGATGAGAGTTTCGCGGCTTGAGTAGTGACACCGTGCCAGTTATGCTCCGTCCTGCGTCGGTCGCCAAAACTTTCCTCGGTCGGGGCTTGGTGCCGTGACGCGCACTGTCTTCAGTCTTCGCATCACCCTCAAGCCAAGAAAGATACGCGTTTGCTCTTGGATCAATATGCTTGCCAAGCATTCTCCAAGATGCTTGGCAGATTTGGCGTGCGCATGTTTATTGCAAAGCGCCGGCTCGTTGTCAACACCTGCTGCTACTTTGGGCTTACAAGGGCAGCAACTGGTGAAGCTAAGAGAGGCTCATCCCTTGGCGATGCCAGCGCCGAGCCCTGTTCATTCGGTGGAGATTCATCATTGTTGGCGGTTGTCATCGCTCTTGAGTCTATTGAGAGTATCCGTCCGTATTGCCGTCTCGTCTGAGGGCTCGCAAATGCCCCAACTGATCTTCGTCCTGTCTTGCGTTGCCGTCATGCCGCTATGCCGCAATTCCGATGTGCCGAAAATCCGCATGTGTAATCAAAATCCAATCAAACTTTAGTGAACTTGAAAGACGACACAACTTGTTCCATGCTGGCAGGTCGCTGGTGGGTTTAAGCTTTTCTCTAGATGAAACTAAATTGGACGGATGCAATGAAATTGTCTGGCCTTGGGGCAAACGGGACCCGTATTGCGTATTCGCACGCACGCGCAGCGACGACTCAGCAGCGGTGAGACTTTACAGTTGCAAGTGATCTTGTCTTTGGAATGTGGGGAAGTGTCACTGGCCGCGAATTCGTCGCCGATGCGAGCGCGCTGGTGGTTCAACGTCAGCTTGCCCTAGCTCTTTGCACTGTTCGTGATGTACAGACCGTGCCTCGACGTCTGATGCTCTCGATCCTCTGCATTCTTCGGATGCTGCGTCATCCCCAAGCGCGCTTGGTCTGGGTATCTCGTTGCGGGCTAACATTGAAGAAATAGCGGATCAGTAACCCGGCGGCTGTTGAGACAATGAGCTTAGCTCTCCAAGACTTGAAGATATTGCTGTTTCCAATTTCAAGGTCCTTTGCACACTGACGTCGCACGAGAGCCGCGAACCAAATACCTGCTCGTGCACGTAATTTCTGACTTGCCGCAGCAGTGTCACTACAAGAGACATGTTCTTTGCTGACTCGAAGGTTGTTGTTGGTACCGTACAGTTTGCCATTGGTCGTATGAAGACTCTTCCCATAGTCATTGAAGTTGTTTGTCATGCAGTAGAAGGCTATAGCTGTTGCGTAATTCGCCAACACCCGAGCGAACCGGCCGCCCGGTGAGAGGTTATTTATCTGCTTGTCAGAGAGACAAGTCAATGCAATTCACAGGTTTGGGGAGAAGAGCCGCAGTGATGTCGTCAAACTTTTCTCGAAAGTGATGGAGTCTTGGTCCCCTGCCACCATGCATCGCCGGATTCGCCGGGACGAGCTCATTGCTGTTAAGCAGCCGACAGGTAACCGATGCAGCCCTGTCATGTCGCACGCTTCCAGTCTCAAGTGAGGTAACGTTCCGGTGAATTGGACCTCGAATAGTCGACATGCAGAAGGTTAGATCGAGACAAATATCAGTTGACCTGCTTAGCTTATGTCAACTCTTGCGGTGTCTTTGCTGAAAGAACGGTGAAGGAATCTGTGCCAAGTGAAGGAGAACTCGAGACATCCAGAGTTGTATTGTACAAGTACGGTATAATGATACAGGGTCTTGCGCTGTGTGACGTTCCACGAGTGTAAGACTTGGCGTGGCCGAGTCGATGAACATGCAACTCGTGCAGAGGGCCGATCTCAACACGAGTGTTGCCAGCCATTGGACACCTGATGGGCCCAGCAGTTTGAGTCGACTCGAACATTTCCCGTAATCATCTTCGGAATCAGAGATGGATGACATTCATCAACCCAGAGCTGCCGAAGATGGCGATCGCTTCCCTGAGATACAAGTCTGAGACTGTGGTCAAGGGTAACGGCACCCGTCTGTCGTGCAACCTCGCGTGACCATTCCGTGGGCTTCTGAATCTGTCATCTGCAAGCCACCGGAGGATAAGACATCAGGTTGTATACCCAGGTCTCGGGCAACAGGTTGTCTGGATGGGGACGCTGCATGCGTGGCACACAAGCACGAGGTGACTCGGTAGTGGACTCGGTCTTCAAAGGTAACACATGGCGGTCGATCGCCGTGTAACACACGTCGTGCTTGTTTCATCAAGCCAGCTTCCAGAATCCAAGGTAGGCAAGGCTTAACGAACTCTCATTGCTGGGGCCGCCAACCGCGGTTTTGGTGATTGCAGTTCAACAGTCGCACCGACCAAACCAGCGAGGGAAAGCCACCACGTCTCTGACATTCGGAACTCCCACAAGGTAGCTGAGAAGCCTGTCAAAGCCCAGACCAAATCCACCGTGTGGGTTGGAGCCCCAACGGCGTAGGTCAACGTACCAATCGAGGTTGCCGTCGACGTTGCTCGCTTCTTTGCCGTTGGACGACGGGATCATGCCACGAGCCTCCATGGTTTCCAGCAACTCTTTCAGGCGATGCTCGCGCATAGAGCCACCAGCAATCTCGCACAAATCAGGCACCAGCAAGTCGAAGCAGTCAACCGTCGCACCAGCTTCATCAGGTCCAAGATCCGAAGAGGCTGATGTACGCATGTAGAAGGCTTTGATCTCGCGGGGGTAGTGGGTGACGAAGACGGGCATGTAAGCGCCGGCCTCATTGGTAACACCCAGGCTTTTGGCAAGGAACTTTTCGTGCTCCGAATGTAGGCCTCCTTCCCAGGTGGGCTTAATCTCGAAACGGTCTCCCTCTGCCTGAAGCAGCTTGATCGCCTCACTGTAGGTAATGCGTGGCCATCTAGATGACGGGTTTTGCATGATACCCTTCCATCGACGCTCGACTTCTTCTATTGGAACCAGATCGTCCTCGGCGGTTCGTGTCTTGCCCTGGGCTCGCCTGTGACGCAACTCCCGAGCAGCCCGCGTACCGGATAAGCCCGTCACCAGCCCACGCAGCATGTCCTCAACCAGGTCCATGACATCGTCGAGGTCGTCGACAAAGCTCATTTCGGCTTCCAGCATGTAGAACTCGCTCATGTGGCGGGTGGTGTCGCTCTGCTCAGCTCTGAATGTCGGAGAGAGGGTCCAAACATGGCCAAGCGACTGGGCCAAAGCCTCGAGATGAAGTTGAGAAGATACGGTGAGGTACTTGGGCGAGCGGAAGAACAATTCGGTCTTCTTGTTGCGACTATGGGGTGCTGGGGACGATGTCTCGGCCGGCCCCGTGGTGACATTGAAGACCTCCCCGGCCCCTTCGCAATCAGACGATGTAATTATAGGCGGATGGGTCTGAATAAAGTCTCGAGAGGCGAAGAACTGAGTCAAAGTAGCAACGGCCTCTGAGCGCAGACGTAGGATGTTGGCATTCAGTGGTATTCGCGGTCTAAGATGAGGCATCGTGCGGAGGAATTCCGGCGTCTGGTACTTTTTCTGGATGGGGAAGGTCTGTCGAAGGGCGAGTGTTAGGCGTATGGGACAAGAAAAGGAAATGAGTGCTTTTGGAGACGTACCTTGGCGTCGGAAGGGCCGAGAACTTCAACGTTGTCGACCTTCAACTCGTGAGTCTGGCCGTCGGTTTTGGAGGGAACCCATGAGCCCCGTAGGCGGACTGCAGCACCGACTCGCAGGTTTGAGCTACTCGATTATGAATAATCAGACGTTCCGAGACATGTACGAAGCTGGGGCAGCTGAGTTTGCCCACCTCTCGTCTTGGCTCCTCGAGACCATGGCCTGGAGAGGGGTCCTTGTTGAGCCATCACCAATGTTGACAAACTGCTCAGTCTTCATGTTCCGGACGGACCGAACGTAGCCGTTGACAACGACATTCTGAACTTCTGTATCGGGCTTCCAATCCAAGAATTGCGCAACTGTCCGGCGGGACTGCGTCGTGAGCTGTCGTCTACCAATGAGGTTGGCAGAGGGGAGGGCCCTCACGAATTGGCGGGGTATCGTCATGGTTCGTCGCGATCTCGTCGAGCAGGGCAATCGCATGGGTCCCTCGTTGGTAAGAACACCGGTGTCGCCTGGCGCGATCAACTTGTGTCGGCGGCTATTTCCCGGGACGATGTTGCGCGATGAGTGGCTGCAAGGACGACGTCGAAGGTGTCGATGACATGCGACAGACAAACAGGAGCTTCAAAAAAGCAGCTTCCACTTTGGTGGTGCTGCGCCAATGGCAAGCTCCAATGCCGCCGGACCTTCCTTGAGTCACTTTAGATAAGATAAGGAAAGTGTTATCGCCGATTAGATAAGATCTGTCGCGGATAAGGAAGGTGGAAGGTAGGCAGGTACGTACTCGCGACATTGAATGTACCTCGTCGAATACGTTGCTGCTGCTTCTTTTCTCTTCCTTTGACCAACTCCACGACAGCCTTCGACCTCCGACTCTCTCCAGGTCCTCTCTGTTCACTTTGAAAACCCAGAACAATCAACAACTCCGCCATGCCAGGCAGCAGACAAACACACACAGGCGGCTCCTCTTTTGCGGACCGACTTGCTGTCGCAGGGACCCGGCTCAGCTCCGCCGGTCGTCGACTCCCGAGACACCAAACACCAACACACGGGTGACGACCTCGGGATAATGCAGTCTTTGATTCGCAATCCCAGGACGTGGTCTTGGGATCAGAGCATTTCTTCGGGTCCGATACTGTTCTTCCATCTCTGCAAGCGATACTCAAATTATGCCGGATGCACCTTGTCACAGTTGTCACCGCACCAGATGTGACTGACAAACATGGTCAAATTACGGGTTCACAGCTGCATATCCTCACAACCAATATCCTCCCAAATTTGGCATTCCCTCCGAGCATGGGTCTTGCAAGATCCACCATCCCGTCTCCCGTCTCCCGTCTTGCCTCACTCTGCTCGCCTTTTCTTCATTGCTTCCAACCCCTGGCAAATCGGACACCCTAGTGGAGATCCAAGAACCACAAAGCTGGGTTTGTTGCTTCTTCCACGCCCATTAGGTTGCTTATTGCTGCCCAGCAACATGGCTAGGCCCTGCATTCTCTCCTCCCTCCTCTTTCTATGCCATCAGAAAAGGGGCCCCCTGCTTCTTTCTGCCTTACATTCCCTTCCCTGCCTTGGCTGCTTAGCTCCCGTCCGCCCTCCCATGCTCCCCTCTGAGCCAACATGTCTGACCCTGGTTGCACTGCTTGCCCCCAATACTCTCCCCCCGCCTCGCAAAGACATCTCAAGTGAGATCTTGGGAGACAGGAAGATCTCGTATAACTGCGGCAGATTGCAGTAGTATCTCGATCGGATTCCACCAACCAAGACCACGGGAGGCTCCATGTAGCACGACCCGGGTTTCTGTATAAGCAAGACACATCTCATCACGACCATCCGCAAACCCACCCGCTCTTTAAGCGCCCTTCCTATACACTACCCTGGAATGTCGCAGACTTGACTGAGATCCGGCAAGTATTGGTTACACTCCCCTCCTTCATCCTTCACCGCTCTCGCTTGCTAGAGGCGAAGCAGCTTCTCTGTAATGGCGGCGAGAGAGAGAGAGAGAGAGAGAGAGAGAGAGCTATGCTCATGGTTTCTTTTTCTCTCTACCCTCCATGCCGCTTTTCGACATGGCATGGACTTTGTTGAAGCTGGATAGACTGCCTCTTCGTTGCGAGATAAATATTTAAGGTCGGCCAGAGAACTCCCGTCGACATGCTCCCGGTTCCTCATCTTCAAGCCTCTTCATCCATCCTCCATAGAGAGCAGTACTTGTCCGGATATTTGTCTGTCTCCAGTCACCTCATCCGTATTTGATCTCACTGCCACAAGACCGAGATGCCTTCTTCAAAGCCTTTGAAGATCAAGCCCTCCGAGGTTGCGGCTGACACCAAGAAGAAGCTCATTCCAGAGGTCAACAAACATTTTCGCGACGAATGGCCTCCGTACTCGGTTCTATACGCACAGCCTCTGGAGCAACTTTGCCTGAACCGTCCCAGCTTCATGAGTTCAGATCTCCCCAAATTCTGTGAGTCAAGCTTCTGGCCTCACGAAAGGTTCCCAACTAATGCCATCAGACGTCGTTCACGGAGATCCGGTTGACTGCGCCATCGGATGGGCTCAGAGCGAGGGCGTTCGCATTCCGTTCATCTGTGCTGCCAATGAGAAACGCCCGGGAGGAGACTGGGAAACGGGAGTTGTTGGATATGAGGTATGACGACGGTGGAACCGTTCTGGAGTCAACAGAAGGTTAATGAGATCTGGTACAGGAGAGACTATGCCGTCGAAGCAACCTCTCGGCAACGCTGGCCGCCCCACATCCGGAGACCTACTTGGCGTCCAACTACCCCATACCGATCGAGGGAGCCATCTACTCCCCTGACGTTGGTAAGCAATTACCGACCCACGATCTCGGAACAAGCACTGACTCCATGTCTTCAAGTCCGATTTCGCCAGTTCCAAGACAGAATCGAGTCGCTAGAGATGAAGGATTGGAGATCGCTGCCGGTCATCTCCATGCCGCCAGCGCGCTGGCCCAAGCTCACCGACATGGGCAGGAAATACTCGTTCTCGACGGAGCGTGAGCTGGTAAGGAACAAGATGCGAGCAGCGCTTCGAATTTGCGCCTCTATTGGTTACAACCATGTGGTCATTGGCGACTTTGGTCTTGGCAACGGATATCGCAACCCGCCCAAGGAGTTGGCAGAGCTCTGGCGCGAGGTCTTTCTCTACGATCCGGAGTTGAGGGGTCAGTTCTCAGCCGTCATGTTTGCCTTCGAGGACGACCGACAATGTACGGCCAAGTGCATCCTTGACGATATCGCCAAAAAGAGTAAGGGCAGCAGCAGCAGCAGCTCGAAGAGCAAGTCCAAGAGTAGCTCGTCGTCATCGTCGAGCTCCGGCAGCTCATCCGGCCACAAGAGCGATTTCAAAATCTTCAGCGACGTCTTCGCTCCCAATGAAATCGCACGAGTCCGAAGCCAGCCCGACCCGCGCTACGCCTTCTCTGCGATCATGGACGGTTCTTGACCGACACGTTCTTGGCGCATCACTGATGGGCTGCTTGTCTCAGTCGTGGGTACTCAACATGGACCGGTGAGACTAGGACGTACGTCAGGCGGGTTGAAGCAGCATACCATGGGAGAAAAGATTTGTCTTTTGGGCACGGCCTTGTCATGTCGGCATGATGAATACAAACAAAGGGTGCTTGTATGTCTCGCGACCCATGCACTCGTACGCCATCAGACAGCCGCTTCCCTGTCTGGGTCTTCCTATTGGTTCGCAACCAAAGGACAGGGAGCCCAGCATCCGCGTTATTTGGTCAGCTTTTCAATCTAGCGGCCCACGCTCTTTTCTTTTTCTGCCCCTGCACACATCGGGCTGAGGCTCCTTGCGATCTCGAGGGACCCCAGATCTACAACGTCGGGCGCCAACAGCAAGTCCTGACGGGTCTGTTGGGAGGGAGCTATGATTTTCCCTGGGTTTTCTTTTGTTTTCAGTCTTCACGGAAGCCTGCATCACTATCGTGGTAGGCATGGTCTGCGATATAGTCGTGGTTGGCGGCGTTCTGGCGAGTCTCGAAGTTTGGTCAGGGTCTATGTAATTGAGTGTGTTCTGGGAGCCTTGGACGGCGTTTGGTGATTTCCAGCACGTTAAACCTATTCCCCTCGCAGACGAATCTCAATTTGGACATATTGTTCGATCATTCCATCACATTTTCTCTTTACGAACAGCATTTAATAGGCACGCACCCCGGGTGACGAGACGCAGGGGGCAGGCATCGTTCCTCCAGCTTGCCGGGACGTCGAATCGGAGACGGTCCTGACATCCGCCTCATTTTCCGAAATGATATTTCAAATCAGTCAGTGACACAACCACGAATCAACACACTGTCTCTTCCACCAGGCTGTTCAGCTCCAGTGTGCCGAGATCTTCGACTCATTGTCACGGTGAGGCTGAAGTCAACTTACGATTCTAACTTCGATCATCAGACCACCGAGTCTTTGGCAGACGCCTGGCGGCAGCCCCGTTCGGCCTTCGCAATGCCAACAACATCACAGCTGGCTCATTCAGTCGTTCATCCACGTCTCGCCGAATTTGCCCTAGCGTCAACGGCAAACCTAGAATCCGTGGAGGTGGAATGTGCCAGCAGACCAGCATGTCTCTGCCTGTTCGTATTCGTCCCGTCCCATTCGGTCCTGTCGAAATCTGCCCAGCACGTGCTGCGGCGGGACAACAGACGAAAAAAAGCAAGGAACGACTCGCCTTGTCCGCAAGCAACAGGCCGCGGCTTCCTTCGAAGGGCAGTCATCCCGAAGGCCCCCCCGAAGGGAGAAGAAAGTATTTTGCATGAGTCTCCATTCTGCGTCCTCTAGCGATGATGGGCAACGGGACGTCCTCGACGCGGAATGATAGGCTAGCAAAGACTAGCACCCAGGCGGGATCTTCGACAGGGTTTGCCTGCGTCGGAAGGTATTCCATGCTTGCTTTTTCGGGAGCTGACATGATTTCAGATGCAAACAATGCTCCTTGGTGTCCTCGTCATTACTTCCTATGCACCTCGACGCAAGCCAAACAGCAGGGGCCCCCATAATCCAAATAACAAATCCTTGCTCCTCATGTCAGATCTTGGTCAGGGGTGTACGATCATCTCGATGATTAGGTATCACTGCGTATCCCCTGCCGCATTGGCCCCCACTCCCAGGAATATCAGGCAAGAGGTGCTGGAGGACTATCTAGGTGGACGCCGAGTCAGAAAAGAGAATCTACGGTATCCTGACTGCTGCCGTCACTTTTCAGTTTTCACGACCTGAAGGCTGGCATCTTCGAGGCTTCTGTGTGACGGGTCATTACGGCCGAGACATGAAGAGGCCTCACTTACGGCCTTTAGGAGCGGTTGGCTCGAGCCGTCGTCGAGGGTCTTTCTCACCTTTCGGGATTTTTTTTCAACAAGCAAGAGAGACACACGACTTTATCCCGGCCTTTTGGTTTTGGGTGCCAAGGGGAGTGAAGGAAGGGGCACATAATGCGTAGGAAAGAGGGAATATTTCTCGACCCCTGACCCGGGCTGACGCCACCCGAGCCCGACCACGCGGAACCGGAGAGGACAACGCTCCTCGGGGCACGCAGCCTCGTTCAGGCCCTTACATCGGACATCCCATCACGCGGGACATGGGACCTCTGAACCAACTCCCTTTCCATTCTTTGGTGTGGTCGGTTACACAAACACGCACGCACACCCGCAAGGAGGCGGGGTGAAGATGCCCAAGACAGCTCGCGAGGACTATCTCTATTAGGGAGGGCATCATCATCCTCTTCTGTTGAAGTGGGTGTAACAAGACTGCCGTTCAGAGTTGGGCGTTGCTTTTCCCCTTGATGATGAGGTTTCCTCTTCCGGATTGGCCCTTGAGAGTCTATGATAATTGCTATTGCAGCCACGCTCTGTCGACAGCATTCTGCGCGGTTCGTCCCATGAGCGGCTCCTACCGGCGACCCGTTAGCTGACCGCCACCTTTCTCTGGATGGCCGGGAAGGGCTTGTAACCGTCAAGACGGACGTCGACATGGGATGGGACGGAAGCCCGCCTCTGGGTCAAATTACCATCCATGAGGCCAATGCGTCGAGCGGAATCGTTCCCCGGCCGCGTCCAGGCGGTTCTTCTTCCATGCGCGCAAGACTCTTCTTCACCGCCCTCGGCAGGCAACCTACCACAAAGGCACCCGTCCCGTGAAAGTTTCCTACTTTGGCATGTTGGACCGCAGTGCATCCTAGGAATCAGTTCATGTCCCTAGTCCCGGACGAAGATCCCGCCCGCCCTACGACGGCGTTCCAGACCACTGAGACACTGAAGGACCGCCTCGCAGGGACTCGCTCGACAGACACCGACTCTTTGTTTCTCTGGTGAAAAGCAAATGCAGCGATCTCCGTCAGGGATTCACATTCAGCATCGCCGCGCCCCCCACCCCCCCCCCCCTTTCTCTCCCATTTTCCCGGTCCATCCAGCAGGCGGAAACCCGTCGATCACCTCCCATCGACCGCCTTCCAGATCATGCACAACACATGCCCCCTCCTCCCGTTTCCCTTTCCCTTCAACACGGCCTTGGCCTTGGAGCTGGCGGGCGGGGGTTTGAAAAGCGGCAGCCTGCATGTTTCACTGCCCTGGGATTCAACGTCAACCACTCGTCTCTCGCCTGATTATACCACGCGCTGCCGAACAAATGCAATCATGTATGGATACCCGATGAGCCATTCTAATGCAAGAAAACCCTTCCTCGTGGGGAACAAACAAAAGCACACAGAATTGGGAACCCTCACACTCGGCGGCAAGAACGAGGTGTTCCTCATGTACGCCCCATAAGTTGTCTCAGCCAGAGAACACCAAACTTATCCTTTTCCCAGCCTAGCGCAGGGAATCAATCAAACCCATGACGGAAGAGAAAGAGCCCCCCGCCCCATGCCGTGTGAAGCTTGGCAAACCGGTAGAGTCCGCGGTTCATCCATACCGAAAGGTCATGTCAAATGTCTCGTCCGCCTTTCCCAATCTGTCGTTACCGGCAGCAAAGAACGGGTTAGCCTGCGCCGTACATGCCTCCCCAAAGAAAAACTCCCCCATCTTCTGTCAGAAATCACATCTCACAATCTCATTACTCCTGAACCCCCCGGTTCTCTTTGATCACAACGCCGATTTGACTCTTTTGGTTTTGTCCCAGGTTAGCGGGCACTGGGCGGCACAGGGGGCGAGCACAGGTAGTTAGTTTGATCAGATGACAGGCGGCACCCCCACCCCCTTGGGTCCGTTCAGCTCGTCCACCCGCTCCCTTGGGATAGACACTTGAGAAAGACATAGGCCCGGGCTGCCTTTCATGTAGATGTCTCTCGACTAATTGCGCCGTTCTTGGGACTATCTTTGGCGGGAGCGGTGACGACGTTCGCTGCCTGGGCAGATTTACGTTGGGGGCGCCGCGTCGACTATCTCTCTCTCTCTCTCTCTCTCTCTCTCTCTCTCTCTCTCTGCCATGTCTTACGTGTTGGGCCGCAGGGATCTTCATCACGGTCGATGTGCATTATCCAAGAATCATGACGACTGGGCCAGAGTGAAGGGCGTGTGAACATTGGGCGCAAGACGAAAAGGGCGAGGCAAATATTGGGCCTTCTGGGAGCTGCACCGAGGTTAGATAGAAAGCGGTCTCGAGAATATGAGCATCGCTTGTGCTGTGTCACCTCTCATTTTCGCAGTGTCACGACAGCCCGTTTCGTAAAGGCACAGCGCTGCTCACCGCCTCGATGGTGAGGTTTCGTACACGCAAGCAAGCAAGAGAGCAGCAGTGGTATGAAGCCCGTTGCGTTCCAGGCGCACCGAGACAGGAGCTCTGTAACGGGAAGTTCCAAGCGGGATCCATGGATGAGGAAAGGGCCGTGTCAGTTCACGTACTCGATCAACGGCGCGAAGTTCGTTCAGCACGAGCTGGGGAGGTATTCTTTTTTTTCTTGGACTGTTTTGCGGAGGGACGAGGGCCCCCTTGGACACCGCCCACCAAAATGTATATGCATTTATGGAAAACGCTCAAAAGCACGAGAGAAGAAGAAAACACAGCTTGCCGCATCGCCCACGCCCACGCCGCAACCCGACTCCTTTTACCCACTACTACCAAATCACTTTAGTAACCTTTTTCCTACCAGTAATTAGGACGCAGGCCAGCGAAGCCGGCTAGGGCGTTGGCGTCCGTCAACGGGTCGTCTCTCTTCCTCTGGCCGGACAGCTACGTAGTCACGTTAGTAAGTGTTTAGGGGTAAGTGATAGGGGCAATATCATACCTCGAGCTGCACACTCCTGTGGAGGTGTACGAGCCAGTCGACGTAGCTCTGGGCCTCGTTGTTCCTATCCTCGACCAGCATGCGCGCGAACTCGTACTCTGCGCCGTCGATGCCTTGCCTTGCCAGCTGGATGCCCAGGCCCTTTGACCCGCGCATCGTCTTGAGGAACTCGACAATGTTGCGGATCTGGGCGTTGAGGTGCGTCTGGAGCATGGGCAGCGACGACGTGTAGGCGTCGAGGCTCTGGAGGGTCGTCTTGTCCTCGCCGAAGAGGTCTGCAATGAGGTTCGGTGACGTCTGCGCGTGGAACCAGAGAAGGCATTGCTGGCCGTTGTCGACGAGGTAGACGCCGCCGGGCTCGACGCGGGAGAAGGACGTCCTGATGGCGGGGGGCACCTTGAGGTGGCCTGACTCGTCGGGGAAGCCTTCCTCGGGTGCGAGGTTGTGGACGGGGATCATGCGCGGGTAGAGGTAGAGGCTGAGTTCCATGGCGCCCATGGAGCGGATCATGCGCATCTCGTGTACCCTGCGGTCGGAGCTTTCGTTGCCGCCCTTGAAGGCGCGGCACTTGACGAGGCCGAGCATGTACATTGAGAACTCCTTGAGGCGCTCAGGCATGACGAGCTGGCCGTCGGGCTGGGCTGCGGTGAGGAAGTTCTTGCGGTAGCAGGAGAGGATGTCGATTGTCCTCTCGGTTAGGTGGTTGCGGACGTCCTTGAGAGATGCGGAGGTGGTGGCCAGTTTTGTGCTTGCTTCCTTGGCGAGGATAGCGACCACGGCGTCCTGGTCGATGAACTTGACAGAGTCTCGCGGGTTGTCACAGACGCTAGCAATGATGTTGGAGCAGCGTACTCTGCGTTGACCTGATGCCGTGGTGTAGAGAAGGGCGGATTGGAAGTGCGCGTCCAGCTTGGAGTCGAGCTTTCCATCGTAAGAGAATGTGACACCCATGGCCTTGTCGGCGTCGATAACTCCAATCTCAAGGTCTGCACCGAAGGTGTGGTGAATGAAGTTGCCGTGGTAGCCGTTAATCTGCAGCCCGTTCGAGCAGCGGACCTTCATGAGAGCCTGGAAACCGGTCTCGCGAGTGACCGCGTGCTTGATCTCCATCGACAGCTTAGTGTTGTCACGCTGGCCGATAAAGTTGGGGTAGTAGAACGTTTCGCCGCCTGTTGAAGCCGCGATGTGGCCAACAGTTGCGATGTCAAGGTAACCGCCGGATGGTGAGGCGAGGAAGAAGTCGGCGCCGATACCGGTGGCGACCATCTTCTCAGCAACCTTCTTCCAGGCCGGGTGTTCCGTAGAGAAGAGCTTCTTGTCAATCTCACCACCTGGGTGCTTGCCGTCGTCCCTAAGGAACAGACGGCCGGGGCCCCATGTGGGCAGCGCAGCCAAGGAGCAGACAATCTTTCCGCCAGTCTTCTCCAGTGCGGCAACCGCCGAGTTAAGAGTAGCTAGGAGAGCAGGCTCGGGATTCTTGATATTGGAGAACATGGTGGGAAGCATGGTGAGCAGGGAAGTGATGACAGCCCTGAGACTATTAGTCATGTCACTGTGGCCGTGAGTTTGGAAGCTTACTTGGACTCGTAAGGATCAACAAAGAGGCCGTCGCTCAGGGGCACGAAGGGGTCCTCGAGATCGGGCATGATCATCATCTGAGCTTGATCCAGGGAAGGCTTCGCCTGTCAGCGTTGCTTTTCAAAATCACAGACGAGCCACTTACGCTGACGTTGTAGAAGTGAATATCCTTGTCGTATGTCACGAAACCGACCTTGGCACCCTCAGGGATTACACGCTTTGGCTCGCCATTCTCGTCCCGCTCAGCATCCTCGCCACCGTAGAGCGCCGCGAGAACGCCTTCGCAGAAGGACTCGATAAATCCCTTGTTGAAAGACTCCTGGGTGACGTCAATCACAAACAGCCAGCGGAGGCCTGTCGGCTCCTTGGTCCAGTACTCCTTAGGTACAACGAACTCAACGGTTCCCCTGGTAAGCTCGGGGCGCTGGTCGCGGTCTACTCTTACACCCTGAGGAGTGAGGGCGGAGAAGTATTCGGACGGGGTATCATTGGGGTATGTACACAGGTTGCAAACGAACTTATTGCCGCCGGACCGGAACATCATGAAGGGGTTGATGTAAGCTCTGCAGCGGCGACATCTCGGGGGGCCAGACTCGCCAAAGTCGAGGACGGGAATCTCGAGTTCACCGGGCTGCAGGGGTGCCAGTGGCTGGAGGAGCAGACCCATGGGAAGGCCGGTCAGTGCGAGCCCCTCGGCACTCGCGGGAATGCTGTTCAACGTCAGGCGAGCGAATTTCGGCGAGGCATTGCCCTGATCGAAAGCAACGTAGGAGACGGTAGCTGGAGGAGGCAGGTGCTTCTCGAAGGTGGGGTAAACATTCGAGAAGTAGTGTTGCTGGAGGGAATCGCGGGACACGGGGACACTCGGTAGGTCATCGAGAGAGAGCTTCTGGTGTCCACCGGTCTGGACGACGGCCGGGGGTCCACCGGCATCGGCGCCGTTCCGGGTCGCGAATTCGGCCTGGGTCGCGGGGATACCGGGGGTGAAGGTTTGGCCAGCGGCAGCCGGGAATTGGTTCATCGCAGGGGTAATCTGGGGGTTGACATATTGGGCCTGCGAGGGATCGGCATTCAAGAAGGCCGTGGCCGGGGTACCGGGGGGAGGCATGCCGTTGAAAGCTTGCGAGGACCCTGTGGCCTCGACCTGGTGGTATGCATGGCGATCCTTCTTCTTCTTCCTCAGAGTGTTGTGGCCATCGCCGGGACCCAAAGACATGCCACCCATCAGCGCCGCCAAGTTCTCCTGGGACTGGAAACCCGGGCTCTGAGCGTAGGGCTGACCTTGAGGAGCGCCGTACGGTGAGCCTTGAGGCTGCGCCGAGCCGGGCATGGGCGGTTGGCCGCCATAGTATTGTTGTCCCGGCGCGGGAGGGGCTCCGTAGGGCGCGCCCTGCTGGTATGGCTGCCCCGCGATGGGAGGGGAGAACTGGGGAGGTGCCGGCTGTGTCGATCGGTTCGGGTTCGAGGGGTCCTGCTCGCCCTGGCCCAGGTGGTGATATGTGCTGAAGTCGGACATGGTTACAGGAGGTGTGCGGTGCTCGACTGCTCGGGGGTTGGCGTGACCCTAGGAATCGTTCTCGATGCTCGTGGTCGGAAGGATCGTATTAGGTGTGGGCAGCTACTGATGGAGGAGTATGTAGCTGAGCTGTAGTTGGAGCTATGGTGCCCGGTTGTAGTTGGAAATCGAAAGGGAGCTTCGCGGAGAGATTGTCGATATGTGCGCACGCATTCAAGAGTGCGCCATTCTCTGGGAACTGTCGAGAAATGTCGTCGTTCGAGGGCCAGCCGACTTGACCAAATAAAAAAAAAGTAAAGTGACGGCTCGAATTGTGTCCCCTTTGCAGCAACACGCTTGTTGACCACGTATCGACAGGGATCTGGACCAAATTGACACGATAACTTTCCGATGCGTTTTTCCAGACCGATGAGCAGCGGCACCGAGGGGCCAGCCTGGAACTTTTCCACCCAATGCGGGAGCTTCAGCTGCCCCCCGTTGCACCTGCCACTTGCAAGAGGACTCCACTTTATGCAGCTTGACCGAGCTAGACCGCACTGGGAGCGGAAGAACTCACCGCCGCTCCGATCTCAGCAGGGCCGGCCCCACAGTGACGGATCTCTTGCTGGAGCTTCCGTGGCCCCTGCACCTGCTCTTCGCATTGAAGACCAGACCACACGGTGCCTGGGCAAGGTTCTGGGTACGTACCGCGTCTTGCAGCGCCCGGTTCTCATGATCCTGGATTCTTTTACGCGACAGTCAAACCTCGACTCGCAGCTCGCTAT